TGATTCTAAAATAACCTTTGAATAGCTTAATACGAAAGAAATGATATATTTTAAATTTACTTTGCTTGCACGTATAATGCATGTGTTAATTATCTTTGATTTATTGCACACACTCATGCAAAGCTATAAGTAGTTGTGGTTTTTGGAAATCAATTTACTCATTTTTCAATTGTTTTATTTGCAGCAGGCTAGCAACATGCAGTGCATTACACCTCAAAAGCTGAGGGATGATGATATTTTTATTTTTTTATGATGTTGTGATGTACAAATACAATGTAACCATATTAATCTCAATTCCTTTCATCTAAAAATATTGATTTGATGCTTTTAAATTATGCTTTAATTTCGATTGTTACACTAAATTCTCATAATCTCATTATTAGTGCATGAAAAGTAGGTCTTGTTGGAATATGGAATGGGAAAAAATCTAATACAATTAATGATTAATTCATTTGAAACTTTTAACTGCGATTATAAATTGCCACTAAATGTGTTCACGTTTGGCCGCTACTAAATGTTGTCACTGTATGATTGGTTTTATTTATTCATTAAATACATTTAGTAGCAACTTGTGGTGTTTTAGGGGCAAAATTATTTTAATTAGATGCAATAATTCTCTTAGCTAAATGTTTGACATTTAGTCACATTTTTTATTTTGTGGCTAAATATTTCATTTTTAGTGGCAATTTTGCAAATGTTATAGCTAAATAATTTAGCCATAACACATATTACCGTGGTTCAGTGGCAATAAAAAAATTGTCACTAAAATATATAGTGACAATTTTTTTTACTTTTAGCTACAACAATTGTGACCGCTAAAACTGAAATTTCTTGTTGTGTTATAGAGATACCTTATCCAACATTTTCAAATAGATAAAAATAAATAAATAAATAACTAGCATATGTGCCCATTGAGAATGAAAACTCAACAAAGGTTACATGAGTTTTTTCTGTCTCAGATTCTTCAAAAAAATTTGGGAGCATAGTTAGCATTAATCTACTAAATTTTGGTGGAGAGAAATAATTAATTGCTCGAGCTATGTCACAATGATTAAGTAATTTATAGATTATTTTTTTAAAACGAAAAGGGGGAGGGGGGAGAAAATATTCAAAGAAACGGAGATATTACATCAACGTTGAATATGTTTAACAAATAAGTAAATGGACTCGACACAAATCAATAATTATCCTTTCATGTAGTACCGTAACTGCCTACTCTCTCTCTCTCTCTCTCTCTCTATATATATATATATATATATATATATATATATATAAGCCAAAACTATCCAAATACAAGAAAATGCGATTCATACATTCTCTATTTGGTGTTTTATTATCATGAATTTTTATTCACCTCCTAATTCACCAATCTATGATAGTTCTTCAACCTCGTTATCAAGCATAATGAATTGAATTTTATACAAAATAGTCAGATCTTATATGGCGATCACGAAAAGCTAGAAAATAACAAACTAACTTCTAATATATATTGGTCGACTCGATCAAAAGGAAACTATTTCGTGAACTCATTCAAAGAAATAAAATAAAACATTGAGTGGCCGCGTGGGATGTTGTTTTAGATTTCCTACCAAGTCCAAAGAATTATTATATTACGTTTATGTGATGTTGGGACTTTAGGATCCAAGTTGATCAAAAATTCAAAATCTTGAGAAATTGATTTTAGGTTCCGAAATAAATATCCAATGCAACAGTGATATCATATTTGTATTGTCACATGATATTATCAACTATAATAAAACAAAAAATGGATAAGGTGAACCCTACTTGTGTAGTTATCGACTTACATAGAAAAAGAGTGAATAATTATTGGTTTATATGGACAGTTAATTATTGGTATATTTACAAATTATTAGTTAATAATACTACATGACAATGATAACGTAATATTACCGTGGTTCTGATATAAGAACATGGTCAGATCGTAACAACCCTCACAAGTAGTAAATCATTATCATTACATCAACTCATTAGTTTATTTTATCTTCAAAGCTCGTCCTACGTTGATCATATGTGCATCACAACATTGTTGGAGATGTAGAGCATACAATTGTTTAAGCAATTTTTGCAAAGACTTTCTTCCACGAGACCCTATATATATGATCATAAATATAGTTCTAAAGTTCATCAACTTAATTACTTATTCATTGGAAAAAAAAAAGAGTTTAGATTTGACACTAGAAATTTTGATTTAGTTCACAACAACTTTTACTGGCCTGTGAAAATATGATTAGAGGTTAATCTGGAAGATAGGTGCTCATCTGCTTAATTAAGAGATGTGTCGAGGGTCAAAAATAAAAATCACTACAAGAATTAAGGTTTTTTAAAACAAGTTTTTTGTGACAACAATGTTCACCATCACACAAAAAATAAAAGTGTTTTGGAGGAAAAAAGTTTTTTGTTGCAACAGGCTATCAAAAAAAGTTTATTTGCTGTTGTAAATAATATTTGGGACGATTGTTGTCGTCAAAAAGATTTTTAGAGATTTTACTTATTACAGTAAGGTATTGTAACGGAGTACCTCGCCATAATAAGTGTAATCTCAAGAGGTCTTTGTGGCATCAACTACAGTCTCAAATAAGAGCAATGCTATTGGGACCTAATTTACTGACTTGATTTGCTGACCTAATGTAGTATGACCTTTGGATTAATTGGAAGATTCATTAAACATCAGAACTTGGTGTTAATTCAATGGTTCCAATGAAGCCACGTTATTAGATCAACAAATTATGTCAGATTTTTAGATCTAAATAACATTTTCCCTCAAATGATATTTGTGGCAACAAATAAATTTTTATGATAGCATTACCGCCATAAAAAAAATAAAAAAAAATCTCCAAAACATGTTTTTTTTTAACGGTAAATGCTGCTGCTGTAAAAAAAAAAAAAAGTACTTGCCTCAAAAAGATCATAATTTTTGTAGTGTCACTTTGTTTATATTTCACATGAGCCGCAATGAGCAAAGACTTGTGCAATGAGTATGGTCCTTTTGTTTTTTTTTTTTTTCTTAAGATTATCCCGATATTGTTGCTTATCGGAAATATGGCTGGGAAATTCAATATGGGCCATGTCAAATAGGATTTCTTCATCTTTGAGATTGTTTATTACGTAAACCCTAATTCATCTTCATCGTCATCTTGGACGGCTGAGTAACTATCTTTCACTTAATAATATTCGTACTTTGTTTTGGAATCATTCTATGCTCACATTGATATTAAATAAGAGTGGGTAATGACCGGAAAAGGACCGACGACTTAGTTTTATGAGCGCACAACCATTGACTGCTTCTTCTATTCTTCATTACATCAATGATAGGCTTCTCATAAGTAGGTGGCGAAAAAAAAATAAAAAGTAAAGTGTCAATTTTTTTTATGACACGAAAATATAATTTAAAATGGACAAGAAATTGATGACACAATCTATTAACCCAAAATATAAATGAGTTAAATTAGTATCAAACACAAAAAAACACAAAATTGACACGATTAACATGTTTAACTAGTATTATAAGAATAAAATATTTTTTTTTATGAGTAAACTTTATATAATTTTGTACCCCAAAAAAAAAGTTTTTACTCACTTTTATTATTATATTTGTTAAATTAAATTTTAATTTATAAAAAAAGTATGAGTATGAATTCAATTAAATCATAATAAAATTTTAGAGTTAAATTTTTTATTTACGAGTTATATGAGTCAACTTGAACGCAACACAAAAATAAACAAATCAAGTTGACACAATACGATTAGTCAGATAGGTTGAATTAAAGTTAATTAGTACTCGATGAAAAACTGTAAATAACACGATTCGGACACGCCCGAGATAACACATTTGTCACTCCTACAAAAATGTGGTTTGTATAAATTTCTTTTAATGTGTCATATTGTTTGTTATTGATTGAGGATTCACTAATTACCTAATGGCCAACTACCCTACCATTAGGTTTAAGGGTCACAGGTTTGTACCTCACCAATCCCTCATCGTGTAAACACTGTTCAAAACAGATTGTTATTGATTGTAATAAAAATTTCACAGTTCAGACCAAGGCCCGCAGATGAACTGATCAAATATTACCATAAAATAATACTAAAGTTAAAAGCCAATTTGGGGAGTATACAACAAAATGTGATCGTTTCAGATTCTGCTTGAAATTATACCACGTAACCTTTCTACAACCTTGAGATTACCTTCAATTACAAGCTGACGGCGCATGCAATTCCAAATTTTGCTCCATGACGTAGTTTTGAAATTTTCTCCACCAGCATTTCTGACCCAATAATTATCTCCCCCCCCCCTCCCTCAATGTATTATACTAATTACCCTTTATCCCTCTATTATCAATTTTCTAATTATATCCTTCATATTAGTAATTTTTTTACACCACCTTTTCAATAGTGTGTGTTAGTTTCACATCACCTTAATTTTTTTTTTTTGTCGGGCACTATTAGAAGATAAAGAGAGGATAATGTTTAAACGGACGACTTTAACTGCTAACCTCCATCAGCTCAAAGTGGAATAAAACGATGCAAAAATGACCATTCTCTAACAAATTATCCTTTAACTATGTTAATTGTTTTACATTAGTCCATCAACTATGTTATTTCATAAAATTTTAATAAAAAATAATGAGTAAAACTAGTGCAATAAGTAGAGGGGACGAAGTGTGATTATTCGTCTGTCTGTCTTGAAACCTTCCGTATCCAAATAAAAAGAATCGAACGACTCAGATCAAATGAAGACCTACCTTTGCACCAAGTATGGCTTTGACCGAACCTTCCTTGTTCGTTTTCCTCAGAACGTACTAGGCCGCAACTTGCTCTCTTTCTTTCTCTATATAAACCTTTCTACTCTATCGTGTTCATCCACTCTCAAAGAAAACCCACCTCTCCCCTCTAAATTTTCTCTTTCTAAAGTTCAATGCGTATCAACCTGATCTTTATCCTCTCTCTCTCTACTGGTAAGTATTTTTAAAGCCTTAGGAATGGCTACAACAGACGAAGCCTCAGCTCTGGAACTAATCAGAAGACACCTTCTCGGTGAGTTCTCTCCGGTTGATGGCTTCGTTAGTCAGTTTAGTGACTGTAGTTCAAGTACCTTCACTGGTGAAAGTTGCACTGGTGGTACCCTACAACCTGAGGTTTCGAGTTTTCAGTCCGAAAGAAAAAGCTGTGAGGACTATCCCATCACCATCTCCGACTATCTCAACTCCAACGACCAAGTCAATACCACCACAGACATCTTCGATTTCGTTCCTAACTCCATCACTTTCGAGCAAAATGAAAGTAAATTTTTCGAGTTCGGATCAAAACCTCAAAATATAGATCTCACAACTCAAAAACCACCAGTTTCAAGCTTTCTATCGATAGATTTCGTGCAAAATCGTACAGAGTTCTTTCAATTCGAATACAATTCGCAAGTAATCCAACCAACAACACTAGAATCTCTCAGTTCAAGTTCTCGATCGAGTTCTCTTAGTGACAGAAAGCCGGCATTGAAGATCGATTTGCCTCCGGTGAAGAAAATCGAGTGGATCGAGTTCACCGAGTCGACTCAACAAACAGCAGTGACCTCAATAGAAAAATCTAGTGAAGTAGAGGAGAAGAGACATTACAGAGGGGTACGACAACGGCCGTGGGGCAAGTACGCGGCGGAGATCCGAGATCCGAATCGCCGAGGGTCTAGGGTTTGGCTAGGGACGTTCGACACCGCCATTGAAGCCGGGAAGGCTTACGACAGAGCGGCATTCAAGATGCGTGGAAGAAAAGCGATCCTGAATTTCCCACTGGAGGTGGCGAAGTCTGCGTGTGACTCGAGCACCCCAGTGGATGGTGGCCGGAAGAGGATGAGATAGGTGGAGAAGGAAATGAAGGTGAAAGCTGTGAAGAGATCAGAGAGACTGCCGGAATGTGAAGTGGAGATGAAGAATGAGATGAAGTTTGATTGGCCGTTAACGCCGCCGTCGAGTTGGACGGTATTTGACGTCCCACTATCGTCGCCGTTATCTCCTCACCCAACGTTTGGTTGTTCTCAGCTTATGGTCACTTGAGCATGAAATGAAACATCTCAAACCATGTTTATTGGTTGAGAAAATGTAACACAAACACACAAATTTTCGACTCCTCCGCACAAAAGAGAGCAAATGTTAGTTTTTGTTGTGGCTTTTTTTTTTTTTTTCTCATTTTTTACCCTTAAATAGATAAGGTGACTAGCCCTCGAGCTCAATACCGGATGATTAGCCCTTTGGAGGTATGAGAATGTATTCAACTTCAAACCTTTAAATTATTAGAGACAAGACTCAATCATTGAACTATTCCTAAGAATTTAATTTTAATTTTTGTTGAATTATATATGATGGAACGAAATTTATGTATCTTCAGCCCTCATATTTTTCTCTTTGTATTAAGAGGCGATCGACTTTAAACAAAATTCAGCACTAGTATGATGGATTTACTAAGGCAGTTTCAATATATATGTAAACTTTATATGTACCTTCAGGTTAAGGGTTTAAATTAGTTAAATTTTATGTTGATTAGTAAAAATTAACAAAAAAATTTGTGGGTTTATGGATCATTAATTTCAAAACCAAAAAAGAAATGCTGAAATTATATTTTGTTTCAATTTTTAATTTTTTTTTTTGGTGGGGGAGGAATGAGAACTTAAATCCTTGATCTCAAAAAGGCAAAACCTTCATAAGATAAGAAGTACCATTGAATCAAATGTCCGTTGGTACAATGTTGAAAACTAGAATGAGTGATTTCATTAATTTTGTGGACTTTGATGAATGATTGAGCAAATTGATTCAACTTATTATGGGGTAGTTAAAACTATTAAGAACACAATACACATTCCTTATGTGATTATTGGAAATCAAGATGAATTATTTAAATGTTCCATATGTTAAATTATTTCTAAGAGTAAGCTCAGAATAATTTATGTATGATCGTGTATAATAATATTCATTGAGTTAGGTTCTACATCCTGCATTTTCAAGTGTTAGACTAATATAGTATATTAGCATTAGGGGTAGATTAGACATTTATTTTATTATGTTTTGCCCTAGTATATAACACTACTATTGTATAGTTTATCTCTTTAATTAGTTTCTAATACAGATCTGGTGATTCTTAATGAATATGTTTTTCCTCTTTCATTAATAAACATTAACATGGTATCAAAGCCTTGATCCCTAAACCCAAATAATAATTCATAATTGTAGTCTAGAAGAAGACTTGATGAACCTGACGTGAAGACTTGGTGAACCCGACAAGAACCTATGACAAATAGCACTCACGTCATCATCGTTGGTGATGACATCATCAGTCTTCGATCGTGAATACCACCATTTTGATCGACTCTTCGTGGGCTTCACATTGGTGTGCTTCCTTTCTTGTTTTGAGTTCATCTGGTAAGTCTTCTGCCTTCTGACCGTGACTGTTTGATGGTCTACCTTCTGAGTTTTCGTGTCCTCTGATTTCTTGACTTTGGCTTTGGCTATTCTTGGCTTTGGTTTGTGGTTGAATTTCTGTTCTTTGATGTGTTAATTGCTGGTTT